ACCAAAGTTGGGTCAGGGCAGAGTTCCAAAGTTTGCTGTGGAAAAGAGATATTGATGATAGGACCCTGACTTTCTAAGCATTCTGGACCATGGCTTGGGAGAGTTGAGAAAAATTGATCATTTGGGTAAATACACCACTGCCCAAGGCAGCTGGGTGGGGGTACCAACAAGACTATAAAATCTTATATTAGCCTCAGAGAACAGAAACATCTGCTAAAGCCACAGCGGGCAGGCTGGCCAAGTTCAGCAGCAGGTTAGCCAGGACAACCCTATGACCAACAAGAAAGGGCCACAGAGGGGAAGAATCTATCATTCTGGCAAGGAGGACAGAAAAGGCTAGCAGTGACAAGGGAGCCAGACACCCAAACCCATGGGGGTTCTACACCATCTGGAGGGGCCACAAGGGACTCTTCTGCCCAGTTCAGGCCAGGACTTTGCTGGTTTCCTATCCAAGCCCCCTCACACCCTCAGTGCCCATTAGGCATCTCAGTCCACATCTGCAGCCTAACAATTTGGTGAGTTTTTCTCCTTTTCTCTGAGGACGTCAAGGTTTTAACAATAAGGTATACTCAGCCCCCTACTTACACACTGAAACAACTTAAAGGAAATATTTCATAGATAATTCACTTACCAGCCAATATTTCTGTTTAAAGTGCTTTCTTTTTCATATCAACACTTCCATGAATTCATAATGTGATCAACTTTTTGCTACACAGTTTGACATTAACAAAACATCAACATTCTGACAACCTGCTGGTGTCAGAAAGGAACATCTTAAAACTCTTTGGACTCTACAATGAGACAGGCTTCCAATCCCAATCTTTGATCTCTATTATAAAGCAGTACCAATAAAATATCGTAGAGATTTATGGGCGAACTTTCACTTGAGCTGTTTCACACCTAAAATAACACGCGTGCTTGGGCCAAAAGGCAGAAAAGTTAGGCTTAGGTTTCAACTGTTCAGGTTTTCTTTTACTTTTAAAACTTACTTCCCTTACTTTTTAAAATTATCTTAAAATTCACAATTACATTCTATTTCACTCCCAGGGAAGATTGTTGAGAGTCTTTAACTGAGCAGATGTCATGTCCTTCCAAGGACAAGTCTGTTTGGGTAAACATGTTCTAACAGAACTATCTTTTGTTAAAAAGAAAGTTTTTTTCATGAGATTTAAGTGGACACTTTATCTTTATGCCCGAGGACATGCTACTATTCACAAGAGTAACAAAACAGTTATTACTGTGAGTAAAATCTCAACAAAAAGAATTTTGTTTAATAGCCAGTGAGATGGTATTTGGACTTAAGATCTGCTTCACTATATGTTGCCCTAATCTATGGAATGACTCCCCAAATCATGTTTAAGTTGTAATTGTGACATCAGTCACTTACAGGTCAGAGTCTGAATGAAAAGGAATCAGTGCCATATTCCCTATGGATGGAAAATCAACGGGAACCCCCAACCTTCCCCGTGTGATGAAGCTGGGAGCAGTGATTATGCCATGTGAGAAAGAAGTAGAGACTCTGGAGGAGGGGGCAGCTCCTCCAGTTTTTAAGAAGACCTTTATAGGCAAAGTAAAGTGAAAACAGCAGAAAAGTTCCTGGACACAGTCCTTTAAGAAACAAAAATGAGTAGGAAGAAAGGTCAGAGCAGTGGTTCAAAGGAATCAGAATGCACAGCTGCTGCTGTCCAAGGTTGTGGGCAGGCACCATTCACGCCTGCCAAGCTGGAGGCAGGGCTGGGCAGCAGAGGCACATGGCCCTTCCTCCACCTAGCTCCCCACTTTCAGAACTTAGCAGAGCCCCAACTCTGCAGGTCCAAAGAGAAATCCTAGAATTGTGACGATCACAAAACCAAAGTAAGCAGAAAAGGAAACATGTTTAGTTATTTAACCCAATTTTATTTTTCATTTTCTGATTTTGAAACATAATTCCTGGTTATAAAAGGAGAAGGAAGCAGCTGGTGCATGGCCTTGGTTTCATGGCCACAGAGGAGAGGTCAGGGAAAAAGCTAGCATGCATGTGCTCAGAGATACTTGTGGGTCCTAAGTCTGTGCTGCCTTCCCTTATGCTGCCTTTCTCTGCCCATAGCTTTGCACAGGTATCACAGACATTGTGAGGGATGGGAGACCAACACAAGTTCTTCAACCAGACAGAGGCTTGGTATGGTTTGACATGTGCAAAGTTTGGTAATGAAACTGCCCTGCAGATGAGGATACAGTTGGCCATTCTTATGAAGAGGTCACTGAAGGTTCTGGGTGCTTTAGGTACCACTGTACATGAAGGTCACATACTGCACATGGCACAGTTACTTGGAACTGGGTATTGATGATTATGTAGCTTCTGACTCAGAATTTCCTGGCTTAATCTAAGAAATCTGAGGAACTTTTGGTTGTCCTGGAGGACTTCTGTTCCAGTATGGCCAATACCTGTGTGGGTATCATGGAGCTACTTCACTAGAATTGGAGCCCAGGGATTCTAGAACACACCCTTCTTGAGGTTAGCATGAGATAACAGTGATACAAGTGGTCTAAGATCATGTTTGAGGTAGGGGAATGCTGGAGGACTGGCACAAGGTTGGGCTAGGAAGATGAAGGTAACCTGCTGGTGTGGACAAGTTATGGATCAGGACAGAGTCTATGCTTTGGCTGCTAGCATATGCTTGGGGCACTCAAATGCCTAATGGCATTAGACTATATAGGACCCAGTAGAGGCATGTCTGAAAACCCATCTTCCATCTGTCACACGTGCTGCCTGGTATGGTTGAGGTGGGAGGTGTCCTAATTCTGTGCATCAGAGCACAAAGACAGATGGTCTGGGGTCTGTGGGAATTTGTGGCAGCCTCAGGTGACAGCACATTGAAGATGTGATAGTCCTGACACAAAGAGGCTCTATGAGAGAGAGAGGCCATGAAACCCCTGCTATAAGTTAATGCCTCTATTTGTAGAGAGCCTTGGTTTCAGGTTGAACAGAAGATACACTGCCAAAGGAGGGTGGACTCATAAGCCTTGGGGCTGTAGGCCAGTTACTTGCGTGGAATATGGGGTATAGGTCTCCTGTGCAATGATGTGATGGGGAGGTGGTGCCGCAGGGCCATCAAGGAGGCAGAACTGACATGACGCAGTCAATGACAGTATTCAGACCTCTAGCGGGACAGCGGGGAAGAACGAAGGAGAACAGTGGTTCTTAAAACAATCCATTACCCTTTTGTGTTGCCAGGTGAGACTCATCCTTACCTATGGCCAGAGCCCAGGCATGACAAGAGCCAGGGGTTGCTTTCAGTGGGACCCTACGGGTGGGGACATTTCTAGGGTGAGCAGTACATAGACCCCTAATGGCCTGCCCTGACAGCATCTAGACAACATATCTACAAAAGGGATGGTCCATTCAGGGGACTCTTAAGACATTTTTTTGAAAGGGGTGAGGGAGGGCAGAGAGGTTAGTGAGAAAAGAAGAAGGGGTGCTGTCTTGTGGAAATGCCTCAATCCTTGGGCCAAGACCTACCTGCTCACATTGCTCAGGGGCTCAGGGAACACCTTTCCAGGACCTCTCCAAGCTCCCTATGTTGGTGGTTTTTTTCAAACCTACATACTGGCACTCCATTTAATCCCTATCTAGGGCAGGGAACAGGGTGGACTTTCCCTGGAGTTAGAGGCAATGGTCAGAGCACAGTGGCCAACGATGGAACATATTGCTCAAAAGGGCAGAGCTCAGAGCTGCCTGGCTTCTCCTACCAGCAATGTGGCACACAGGTATGCTGGTCCTGGGAGTTGCTACACTGATTAGGCAATGTAGAGAGACTGGGTAGCTGTACCTTTTCTCTGGGGGATGACATTTGGAAGGTGAATGAATGAAACAGGTTTGGCACCTGAGCTAGTCTCTTATTCCCAAGAGATGGAGCCAGGTAACGAGTATCCAGAGTGCCCTGGTATGTATGGGTAGTGATAAGACTGTACCTGTCACCTCAGTGCAGTCAACGAGCAAGTAGCAGAATCATGTCCCAAGGGACGGGGCCTGGGAAGCAGGAAGGTTCAATCTAGTGCAATAACCCCAAACTGGACCACTCAATTCAGAAAGTCAAACAGGAAGTAAAAGTCAAGAGACAGCCAAATAAGTAAAATGAGCCAAATGCGCAGATGAGCAGAGTGGTAAGGAACAGAAACCTATGGATTCATGAACTGCAGCAAGTGAGGCAGAAGTCACTTATGTTTGGTCTTTTGTTCACTTGTCCCCAATGCCTAATGCAGTGCCCAGAAGATAAACAGTGCTCAGTAAAGACTTGTTAAAGAAAGGGATTCTCACCTGCCAGGCACTGGTATCCAGAACAGAAGGCATGTCTTGAGATGATTCTAATTCCTTCATTTCACATGGGAGCCTGGGACGGTCTATAGACACTTAGTGACTTACCAGGACTAGAGTCAGGGTGCAAAGGAAAAAGCCCAGACTTCTCCTTGTCTCCCTCTGCTTTCCCATCACAGAAGCTACAGTAGCTATTGTAAAGGACAGGTCAGAACCAGAGTGGTACCCACTCATTAGAACAGGGTTTGAAAATGTTTTGCTAAACGGCCTACAGGAGACAGTAAATTGCCATGACACTCTATTGGCGTGGTGTGAAAGCAGTCACGGACAGCATATGAACAACTGGATGTGGCCGGGTTCCAATAAAACTACAAAAACAGCGGCTGGTGTGGGCTGAGCAGTTTAAAAGCAGGTATCTTCCCTCATTTCTTTCTGAAGGTGACTGTTTGCTGGAGTTATAAGGTGGCAGGGCCACTCTGAGCTGAGGCCTGGGATGAATACCTGTGTCTTCCCTGACATCTCTCCAGGAAAACAAGCAACAGAGGGCAAGCACTCTTCCAGGTAATCTGCCCCATTAAAAGGCTTTATTAGATAGAAGGTATTCTGATAAAACTAGTGTTTGTCATGATTTGCTTTTTCAAGAAAAGGAAAATGAACAAACAAATGAAATAAAAGGAAGGAGAGAGAAATAGAGATGAAGCTTTACCTTCTGAACCAAGTAGACACTTGTGGCTCTCTCAGCAGCCACTCTGTCCAGATCAGATCCCTCAGGAATAAAGTAACTCACGTCAGCGATGTGAACTCCCACTTCAAAATTACCTGTAAATGCATAAGAAGGACATTCACCAGCCTGGTTTGGGGGACTGAGGAATCCCTCCCAGAATCTTTTCCAAGAACCCCCAAGACTCCCAGAGGCCACAAAATGTGAAGTTCTGACTTCCATTCCCAGTCTTGCTGGGCACCCACCCAATCCTGTGGCCTGTACCACTGCCACTTTCCTCCTTGTACACCAAAGATGACAGAACTTTTATCATGGATGAGCAATATTAAACACTTTCACAAGAACTTTCCCATTTCCAAAACCTTCTTATCTTGAATCAGTAGACTCAAAGAAGAAGACATGGCTCATTCTGAATGATGAACAGATCCTTTCAGGTCACCAGAAAGAAGTGAGTTAATCCCCAAATCTTGCAGACATTGCTCTTAAGTTCTGCCTTCCTGCTCATTCCCACATGCCACAGCCCTTATTCAGCCCATACTGGCCACTCTACCGTGCCTCGGCGTCCCCTCTCTAGCCCTCCACACTTTCTGAACATGGATCTGGAGCGGTTACTTCTTGGCCTGTTATTTGCATCCCTGCACAGGTGCACCCCAAGGGACCTTGTTGGCTCTCAGGCCCCACCTTTCACATGCACTATGGGCCGCTGTCTTGGGAAGTTCTTCCTATTCCCTGAATGAGACTTACCTCACTGCACTCAGATGCCTGCATAGCTTGTGCTTTTCCCAATGTCTGGGATAATCTCAGTAGGATCTCCCTATTGAAAGAGAATCTCAAAACAAGAAGAGAGTCTTCTGTTCTCTGTTTCCTCCACCTGTGCTAACGTTAAGGCACCTGCCCTCTACTTGATGATATGTATCTCAGTCTTTCTGCAGGGCTCTCATTGCTGCCAGATAATACAGCATATCTTTCCTGGCTCATGTGTTCACTGTCTGCATCTCTCCTTACAGTGAAAGCTCCAGAAAGTCAGGGTCTTTTGTGCCCAGTATCAAAAGAGTGCCTGGCACATAGATAGTAGGTACTCAAGAAATACTTTTTGAGTGAAGAAATTAATAGCTGATTTGTTTGCCTTTTCCTTCTGCTAAAAGACCTACTATTTTTTTTTTCTTTTTAGAGCTACCCTCTCCCTTCCTGGTAGAGCTGTTTTTCTTTTATTAATAAAGGCCCTGACATCCCTGCCAGCTATCTCAGAAAAGTTAGTGGATGACCCAGGCTGGTGGAACTGTACCTTAAGTGGGGTTTGGGAAGTAGTTAGGATACAAATTTAAGGTTTACTCTTGAACATTCTGTACATCCTCTTTCAAATATAGTATATATGAATGTAAATATATATATTTACACATATATACATGTGCACACACATACACATATACTGTTTGTATATGTATATACATGTGTGTATAAAATTGCACAAAATGGATAGACTCCAAAAAAGAACACACAAGTAAAATAGGTATATAGTTTGAAGACAGTACCATGGGCAGACAGAAATGCACAGAAGATACAAACACAGAGTAAATTTGCTTAAGTAAAAATGTATTTGTGAAATTCTACTCTACAGTGATAGGCACAGGCATGTGCACATGACCCAAGCAGAGTTACTCTGAGTCTATTCTTAGGGATTGATATAGGCTTCAGGTAGAAGAATCTCTCTCCTAAGATCCCACTAAGGACCACATAACCCAGGAGTTGCCAGGAAACATCTTTGCCACATACTGATGCCAATATAGCAAATAATAGGTCTAAGAAGGAAAGAAAGAGTCAAGATGACCTCACTTGAACTCTAGGATCCAGCTGAACCTGAAACTAGTCCCTTTCTACTATGACTCACTGCAAGAGTCTTGACTGATGCCCAGGTTGACTCAGAAGAGCTTATTAACACGTTGCCTTCTGCTCCCTCAGTTGGCTGGCTGATCAGCCCTAAGGTATCACGAGGTTTATCTACACATTTTGTAGCTACTTACTATCCGTCTATTCCTTCTTCCTTTAGTTCTTCCCTCAGTTTTTAATAATTCTTCCCTCAGTTTTTAAATGTTCTAACACGTGGTGCTTATGATAAGGGATTCTGGCAGGAAAATAATTTAAGGGTCCTTACTCTTTATCTGGTCTGATGCTTGGAGACCACACTCCTACAGGGCACTCTTTGGGTAGTTTTGCCCAATCCTGAAATATTAATAATACATTAGGGGACACTGTGCCAGCTACTAGGGGATGATACAGTAGATCTACTTCCCACCGAGGACAGGGCCATTTCGAAAGCTGAGAAAAGCCAGTGTGACTCCAGGATTGGCTGCCTTGCTCTGACAGGCGCACAGCTATGCCATCAGGTCATGGTGAGAAGTGAAACCTGCCTGCGATCGAGGAACTCAGCTCTGAGTGAACTCAGCCAAGAGTTTCAGACGGCTCAACTTCCAGTTTTGATATTTCAAGTATCTAAAACCAACACTTAGAGAAGGTAAAATAAAGTATCTTCTTTTGAAGTCAGCATTATAATATATTGGCCTAACAGGTAAATATTGACTAAAGGAAAAGAGAGAGGATTATTACATCATGATATAAACCATAATTTAAAATTTGGTCTCTGTGTTGTGACTACACATGAACTTTCTGTCCTTAGTCAAAATTGACAAACTGACAAAGAGTTCATTACAGGAGATAAAACACAAAGGAAGCCAATCAAAACACATCGAAGAGACTTAAATTTCACTCAGAATTCCCACCAGAGCCTCTAAAACCAGCAAAGAGAAGCACTCTTATTCTCTCCTTTGGAACTTTTTTATGGAAACCCTAAGTAAATATTTTATTACATATATTTACATAATGTGAACTTGCAGAACTCTTAAGGTAGCAGCACTGAAGTTTTTATTCTATGAAAGAGAAAATATAAATCCAAAGTTTATATAGCATATGCCGCCAAAACATTTAGAACAAATGTGTTTTAAAAGACCCTGTCTTTTATATAAAAGTATTCTTTTAAACTAAAAAAAAATTTAAACTTTCATCTATGGTGGCTAAGGTGAGTCCTGTGAGTTGTGAAGAGTAGTTGGAGCAGAAAGAGGAAGCCTTTCCAAGGTCTGCCATGTCTGGTTCATTTTCCATAGGGCCCACAAACTTAGATGAACACAAATACTCCTTTGAATGAACTTGAGAGGACATGAAAACTGCTTCATCCAATTAAAACAGTAATAAAATCTAAAGCAAGGGGCTTAGAAACCATCTATTTGAAGCCAGCCTCCCAGCAGCACAGCCACTTCCCAACAGTGTCCTTGCCAGGTGGCCCCTAACATATCCTCAAAGGTGGGGCACTGACATGTTCTTAAAGACACCTCTCTTCTGAAGAGCTCTGGCAGTGAGAAAAGTGCTTCCTTACCCGGACCTCAGTACATAAAATAGAGCCTCTAGTTTATGCCAGCATTGGGCTCCCATAAGTGGTGATCTCTCCCTTTAAGGAACTCTCAGTCAAGGGGTTGGCAGATACATCCGCTTCCTTGGCTTCTTTTAAGGAAGATCTGACAAGCTCCTTATTGTTCTCCCTGCCATCTCAAACCCATTTTCCACACTGAAGACCGTGCTCTTTCTAAAACATATATCTGACTGTCACCCAACTTTGAAAATCTCTAGGCTCCCTGCTACCCTGAACATGCAGCCCAGACCTGGCTTCCAAGGCCTCACTGGCCTGGCTCCCCCACCACTCCAGTACCCTCATCTTGTCTCTTCCCCTCCTCTATCTGCACACTATCCTCTCTTGCTATCTCACAAGGTAATACTAACCAAACTGCCCAACATGTGGGTCTGCCTTGGGTCTGACTTTCTGGCCCTCACCCCTTAATGCCAGTTGTACCCCCAAGTCAGTGTGGTGGAATTCCTAGGGATGCTTATGCCTTGGGGGCTCCATACTGTCCCCTGGGTAGAGTGCCCTTTCCCATTCCTCTTCCTGGCAACTCCTACTGCTCCTTCAGAGCACCACCTGAAGCCCACTCCCTCTGGCAGGAATGTCCCGATGACCTAAATGAGGCTTGACTCCCTCTTTCCCTGCATCTTCCTATAGCTTCTCACCACCCCACCCAGAGGATTTTGTGTGCAGATTATGGGGTACCTCCCTGTTCTCTGCAATCACATGAAGTGCAGGAAAAGGACCTGCACAGTCAGTGAGTGGCATTTACTGAATGGATAAGATAGTAACACTGCTGAGTCCCCCCATACCAGGTCTGCCTGGGGAGCATCCAGCCTGAGCTTGCATAGTTCAGGTGACTTAGAAATCACTACTCCCAGTGTAGCCTGCTCCATCCTTGGCTAAAGTAGCAACAACTAAATTGTTTGCCCTTTTCAAGCCAAAATATGTCTCCCTAGAGCAGTAGTTCTCAACCTTTCTAATGCCATGACCCTTTAATACAGTTCTTCATGTTGTGGTGACCCCCAACCATAAAATTTTATTTTCACTGCTACTTCCTAACTATAATTTTGCTACTGTTATGAATAGTAATGTAAATATCTGATACGCAGGATGGTCTTAGGCGACCCCTGTGAAAGGGCTGTTTGACTCCCAGAGGGGCTGCAACCCATAGGTTGAGAACCACTGCCCTAGAGTTTCTATTTACTGGCTCTAGTTCTGGCCCATGGGGCTGCCCAGAACAAGCCATGTCTTCAGAGGACAGCAGTTTGGAAAGAAAAATGGTTGAAATGGTGATCTCTGGCTGAGAGAAGACTGAAGCAAGGCTAGGGAGCAACAGTTTTGATGATTTAGATGGTCATCATGGGGTGCCCCACTTAGGCTTCTCTCCTTCAGGTCAGATACCCACATGGTTTGCCTTTGAGTCATCTTAATACCATTCTCCAAACATGCTCCTAATAACCACCTTCTTTCTTTCAATCAAACATGCAACAAATACTGATTAAGCTCCTATTGTGTGTCCCATCTTCTTCTAGGTGCTGGAGACTTACAAGGAAAGAAGACTGACAAAATTCCTTCTCTTGTGGAGCTCACATTCTTATAGGGAGAGAAAGACAACAAAGAAAGAAATGACAAGATTACTTAAGATAG